CTTACTTAGTCTCCTCGAATGTTCACTACTCCCACGGTCGAGGGAAATCTGAGCATCTGGTAGTATGTTGAAGGTACTACCTTCATTTCGTGTAACCAAGGTCGGCCCATAATAGCATTGTATGCCAAGGTCGTGACTACTATTAGAAACTCGGTCATGACCCTAGCAGGGCCAATCTTCACCGGAAGTGTGATTCTTCCCTTTGAGAGAATCATTTTCCCACTGAAGACGACCAACGGGGAATTAGCCGGCTTAAAATCTTCTTATTTTAGTCCAAACTTCTGGAAGAGGTCCATATACATAATCTCAGAGGAGCTTCCTAGATCGATCAGTACTCTTTTCATATCATAATTTGCAATTCGAAGGGTAACCACTAGAGCGTCATTGTGCGGGTGGTGTATCCCAATAAATCTTGTTCAAAGAAACAAATTGTATTGACTACATCTTCCAACTTCATCCTCTTGCTCCTAACTTCGAGGGACAATCGCAGCTAATAAACTTCTCTCTCCTTGGCCGCTCTCTGGATGTATGCCCTATCAATATTATTTGTTGTCATTTGGGGATTTGTTGTAGCGTGGATCACATCGATCACACCTGCTGCAGTGGTTTGGTCAACTTAAGGTTTGACCCTTCCGCCATTAGCTCGATCACCACCATTCTCTATGAACTGAGCAAGATGCCCTAGACCAACTCTTCCAAATGTTGTTTCAATGACCAGCAATTCTCAGTCATATGCCCCACATCCCGATGATAGCAACATCTGAAATTAGGATTTCTCTTCGAAAGGTCTCCTGTGAGCTTATTAGGCCATTTGAAATATGACTTCTCCTTAATTTGAGTCAATAGTTTATATATTGGCTCTTTGAACACTCTGTTTACCCCAACAAAAGAGAATTTTGAGGGGAACCCCTTCTTGTCTTTCTTCCCCCCAGTGTCACTGTTCGGCTCAACTTGCTTGTCTCGACTGAATTGCTTTCTACTTGTCTGTTCCTTCCCTATTTCTCTGGACAGGTCATCGTTGATTTTGGCATACTTCTCAATTCTCGCCATTAACTCCTCCATGTCTATGGCAGGTCTTCTAGTAAGGGACTGATACAATGGGTTCTCTTTTAGCAATCTTATCTTGAAGGACACCACAGCAATCTCTAGGTTATAAGCTTCAATTTCGTTCATCGTTTCCTAGTAACAGTGTGCGTATTCTCTCAAAGTTTCAGTACTTCTCTTCTTCAATATTAGCAGTGCCCCAACATCTTTGGGTTGTTTGCTGCTTGTGATGAACTGAGCTGTGAATTGCTTGGCGAGCTATGCCCATCCATCTACCGAGCTCCTCGGCAGACTGTCGAACCACTTCATGGCCGACTCCACGAGGCTATTATGGAAAATGGTACAAAACAACAGTTCATTCTTCCGATGAATGGCCATAAGCTGTCAATAATGTCTGATGTGAAAGGTTGGATCCATCTTTTAGTCATATAATTTAAAACTCGGGACTGTAAATTTACTCGGGATTCGTCCTCTTTCAATCTAGCTAGTGAAGGGGGGGGACCTCGTACCGTCTCCGTATTCCCTAGTGGCTCTTTGGGTTAGGTCCCTAGCCGATTTTTGCTCTGGTCTCCTTAGTCGGTTGTTGAGCTCTTCAGTTATGAATTGCTTCCAAGAGTCCTCATCCCAGCTCCGATGCCTTTTCCACTTCCTCGGCATTTTCTCTTTTACCTCGCTTTTTCTTAGGACTCTCCCGTCGGCTTTCTTTGTTATGCCTATCCCTCTTGGTCATTTCCTTCAATCTAGCCTTCAATTCTTCGTTTTCCTTCATCAAACCTCTTTCTCTGGCATAGGATTTCTTGAACAATTTATCATATGCGTTAAGTCAATCTTGCAGGGACTGAACTAGTTTTGCCAGAGCGAGGTTCTCCCCCTCGACACGGAGGGATTCACCCCGGTCAGCATCCTGCTGACTCTTATGCTTATATGGCTTAAAACTTGCTGAGGACAACTCGTCATCCTCATGTGGCTTAACTGGGCTTTTGTCCATATCCATCCTTATGTCTCTATCGGATGTAAGTGACACTCTGTAGTTTGGATTGGAATCCTCCAAGGCCAAACTGCCTACAACTGGGCAGATGGCATTTTTTAGTCTTGACATAGGCTTTTTGTTTCGTTTGGTGAAATCTTCCCACAAACGACACCAAAATATAAGAGGCAAAAACAAATGTATCTCCTACAAAAGTGAAGGACTGATATTTTTGGCAAAAGTGGACTCTGAACTTGATCTTCCAGTCTTCTCTTCTTGTAAAACGAACAAACTGGCCAAGATCGAACTACTTATGTTAGTAATAGAACTGAGTGAATTACAAGAGGACAAGGAAAGTTCAGCGTACCTTTCACCTTGACTCCTTATGCCTAGTATAGAACTTTGCTCAGCTAGGGCTTTCATGATTTATGATTCAAGGTGATACACCTTCCTTTAATCAAGTGATTCTGTTCAAGAAGTTGTTGAGATCTCTCCAGCAATTCCTTCAACCGAGCCTACGATCATGCCCATTCGTTAACTAGAATGCCTGAACTATAGGCATCTCTTTACTGTTTTCAACAGCTCGGTCATGATGAGGACCAAGCTCATTTCTTCCTTTCCGAGCTTTTCAAACAACTTGGCAGCAATCTAATAACTGAGTTTAATGATATCTTTCTCACGTGACTGGTATCGTCACCCGCACGTGGGATCATTTAATGTGGTTACACGTGTCAGAATGGGAGCAACCCTCTTCATAAAGTATAAGAATGCATAGGGTATGAAGACAAGCCACATGAAGGTAATGTAATTGTCCTCCTTAATACTAGAAATTTATACCCGCCACTTGATCAGCCTGTCATTCATTACACCCGCTACTATGTGCATCAACACATTGCCCTTTACTTACACCAATTACCCATGTGATCATCTAAATTCCTAATTCCCTTATGTGCTAGTGTGTAACAATGTAGAAAAGATGAATGAGAGCAAAAACTTCTCAAATCTCATTCTTAACCCATGACTAAAAACCTTTGGGGACCAACTGTAAAACAAAATTTCTTCAACCAAGTCAACAGGAAATAGTTGCTAGGATTATGCATCATGGAAATTTTGGTTGTATAGGTTTTATCACATGTTGATATTCTCAATTAGTCATTGGCCGACTCCCCTCGACCTTGACGGTGCAACATTTTTTGGTGCATTTTTTTTGCAAGACATCTTCTCTACAATTGCAACTCCAACTTGTCACACCCCAACTCCAAGGACATGACCGGCCATGAACCATAGATCCATAACCTATAGAACACGTAAGCCTAACAATAAACTAATAATATTAAAGTGGAAACAACATTAACACTAAATTGATCTCATGTCAATATGTCAAGTCAACATACCTAAACCTGTTTGCCCCAATTATCCAAACAAGTAAAGTTGGTTATACGATATATGCTACGGAGGTCACAACACTATTAGTCCCCAATCAATTCCCAGAGTCTACTATTGACACTCCAATCGTTTACCTAAAAAATATTATTTTGAAAACATGAGCTAAAAAACCCAGTGAATAGAAAGGCATACATATTCAAAGTGGCTAAAAAACATATTTGGCATACAACATATAAATCAAAGGTTTGAAAAAATAACTTCATCAAGTCAACCAATTTCTCGAAAATAACACAATCGGATTACAATAAGAAATCATACCAAAATGGTGGAGACCGTACAATATCCAATAATTGATGGGAACCAAATACCAAATACAATAATTGACAACAAAAAAATATGTATGGCATACGATAGATAATTATAAACAGAGCCAGTAAAAACGTTGTGACAATAATAAATTATATCATGATCTCATACTGGTAAAGACTTGTATGATATATGAGAACCATACCAAATGTCAGAAGATCTGAAAGTTGGATCCAACACCGTACTTAGGGTTACCATGGGTTAGTGCCCGAGAACTGTGCCCTAAGACAATCCGATGAAGGTCACAAGGACGCACCAGGCACTGTTCCTTCAACCGTTGAGTACTAGGGTCACCTCAGCCTCCTCCGGGTCTGTTCCCTAATGGCTAGAGTCACCCGCACACAGAGAAATAATTTCCCTGGACTTTTAGTTTTGGTCTTATTCACCATTACTAAGTCTCGCCATATAAACAAGTGATTGAGTCACAATACTTCATAAAAGAATTTATCGAGGTAAGGAGAATCGTATGCCACAAGTATTTAGACACTTAGTAAAATATTTTGTAAAAGTAGTAATGAACAAGCATGATGTATTGTTTTAAAAATGCTTAGGGATACGGGGAGTTTTCGAAAATACGTAACATGCCAACCCACTCACCTCAAGTCCAAAGGAAATGATTTGTCACCCGATGTTGATTGAGAAGTTGCCGATCCCTTACATTGTTTTTCCACGGTTTCGTTTCTTATATGAAGTATCCAACCTTCCTTCTCTCTCTCCATCTCTCTCTAGTGGGAGGTCACCAATGTGTTTTCCTCCTAATTCAATAATCAAGTCCCCTATTTATAGGCCTTTAGGACTCCTAGGAATATTCTAGAATGTGGACATGTATCATTATTTCCTTCTCCATTCACTTTCTTACTTGGAACTTTCTAGATTCCAATTATAAATATTTATGCAATGGTCAATCCTCCACATCTCTAGAAGTCTTCATACTAATTTAGGATATTGACGAGTACTCTTTATCTCTCTAAAACCTTCCGGACTCTTCTGAAATGCTCTAGGTTTCTCGAAGTTCTAGATCTTTCTTCAACATTCTAGATTGTTCTAGAATATTCTTGAACTTTATATAATCTTCTAGAACTTTTTAAAAACTTCTCCTTCTAGATTATTCTAAATTTTTCTTTAAAATTTTTCTTATTCTTTCTAAGATAATATTCACTAACTAGTTTCTTACCAAAATAGAATGGGGTATTACATAATTGGCATATATTAATCAAACTAATAAGCATCTTATGGGCTAGCAGACGAAGTCACCAACCCAACATAACACAAGTAGACCAGATCCACAGGTACAACACCTACCACATTTAACCAATGTGATCAGCATAGTACAAAGAATATGTAGAATCATATAAAGCCAAAGAAGAAACCAATCAATGACTTCTTATTAAAGAACAAAAAAATGAGAGAGTATATGAAAGAAAGGTTCAAACAATTTCAATAAGTGTACCTTTCCTCCATAGATAAAACAGGGGGACCCTTATTGGCCAGTATCTCTTCATCACTCACAACTCCAACCACCAATTCATCTCCCAAAGCCTTGGCTTGCCTCAAAGCATTAGCATGGCCATAATGCATGAGATCAAAACATCCATCCATGTAAACCCGAACACGTTTCTTTGCACGTTTCTTCTTTTGAAAAATCCTCAAATCAGGGAAGAAGTACGGAAAAGTGGGAACACTAATCCCACCAAAATAGCTTGTTGACAACCCAAGCAAGGCGGCAGTGAGCATTATACCACCAAATAGATGTGGGTGGTAATATACCCCATCCCAAATCCAACTGTTGCCCTCAAATTCCATATTCCCACCCCCTTCTATGTTTCAGGGTCCCAGAAGTCCTCTTCACTCAATTAGAGGAGACACAAACCCTGCAATTTATAACAAAGGTGAAACCAACCTAGGATTAGTTACATGAGGTTTTCAGATCATATCAGCAGCAGCATATCATACAAATCTGGAAGAGTAAATCAATCAAAAATTAAGCAAAAAAAAAAAAAACAAGAATCAATTATGAAACCCACAGGTAATATTCCACACGAGTTCCAAATTATTGAGAAAAAATTGCATTTATGCTGGGTTTGAAAGCTTGGTGTTGTTTTCTTCTGGGCAGGAATTAACTCCATGCTCCCAATCACAACTATGAAGTTTAAACAGCCAACCAAACAAGAAAACAGCGATAATACAGACCCACGCGCTTACAAGAAAGCAATTATGTTTACACACACAAAGACAAGTATATATATTCAATTATTTACTGGGTTGTAACGCAAATGACATAAGATCTAAATCTTGCTAAGAATTGGAGAAAGATAATACAAATAGAGTATATACAGATAATTAAAGAAAAAGAACATGGAAGCAAGAGAAAAGAGCACATGACAAAGATGAGGATGGGATTGAGAATTCCAAGGACAATAGGGAACTGGGCATTGAGAGAAACATGAATGAATTTTTGCATCATAAGATTTGGTGAACATTGAAGTTAACACCCAACCAGAAATCACAATTCTGCGGGAAAAAGAGTGAAACATGAATGAATTCTTGCATCATGTGATTTGGTGAACATCCAAGTTAACGCCCAACCGGAAATCAAAATTCTTCGAGAAAAAAGCGTATTGCCAGATTGAATCTTTACCTTTTTACCAGTTGTGTTCGTGTCTCCTCTCTCTCTCTCGGCACACTACTGACTTGGTTTGTAAAGAAAGGACCCCTAAGGTTTCGTAGGGGAACTGCAGTCGAAATATTTGTTAGGCTTTAAAGATGGAGTCGATAATTATATCCTTTGACGATACTCTTAATGATTTCCGAGCAGTACCTCCGGAGGTCTTCACGTTGGGTTCAGAAAGTCAGGACTGTGCAGAAAAGAACTTAAAAAAATTAGAGTTAGAGTTTTTCTCAGGTGAAATAATAAGATGAAGTAAAGAGCAAACAACTGAATATTTCAAAGAACTTGACAGACTATTTTAAGTATTACTCAAGGTAAAAAATTCTTAACCAAGATACCTTCCTAAGATCAAAGAGAATTTCTCAGATAGATAGTGAGGATCACGAATCAGATTTCATAAATTAAGGGTCACCCCTATAAATACTATGTAACGGCCCCAACAAAGGGACAAAATCTTAGTATCACATCTTACATTCTGTAAACCTTTTGGTATAGTAAATAGTGAAGGAAAGTGAAAGAAATGTCCTTATTTAACGTTTTGGCCTGCACTTGTCATTAACTGTTAGAGAAATGTCCTTATTTAAACCAACATTCTCTAGTCTTCTTCATCATTTTCATTTCTCCATCAAACATTACTTTGTAATTAGCTTGCCATTTTTTCTTCATGGATCTTGCAGCTTAACACGAATGAAGCCTTGCTTTTAGGAGGTGAGCCTTTTTCAACATCGAACCTGCTTGGGTAGATCATTTAATGCCAATGAGGTGACTAGGGCCTAATTGGAGGACATTAGGGGTCGATACTACTTTTCTATCAATGTTTGGGTTCATGTCCATGATGTTGACTCTCCTTGCAACACTCCTTTCACAAGGAGGATTTTTTTTTTTTTGAATACACCTTTGAGGCCAATTTTCACTTTCTCTTGTCCCTCTTTATCAGGGCAGTGCTCTATTACTTTAACCTATGCCCTGTCCATCTCTCAATAAAGGGATGGAGCATTTTGGTTGGCATAATGGCCACCTAGCACTTGGTGAGGCTAAGTCATTCCCCTTCGGTGGTTAAGTTCTCCAGCCTCTTCCGCCTAGCTTTTGCTTATCACAACTTCTATTAGTTCCTTAGCAGGGATGGTATGTCGGAGCAAATTTCTAACCTCCTCAGTCCTCTCCCTGGTTGGAAAATTCATTTCTTCCTTGTTTCTGGAGATGATTGGTAGTTTGAAGAGGCAGTAAGAGATGCACCTCGTGTCCCTTGGTTTTGGGATGTTCCGGGCAATATGAGTAAGTAAGACTGTCGCTTTGAATTTATGATGGAACCCTTTTTTTATTTCCTAGAAGATATCCTTGTGTGCTTTGTAGGGGAAGAGCCCCCACCAAGCCCAATTAGCCAGGCGAGGATAACAGTAGCCACGGAGGGTGGGTCAAGGCCTTTTAGGTTTTTGATCACCCTTAAAAGGCTTGCCTTCTTAGGTTGTGGTTCCCCTTTTCCCATAAACATAGGAGGTTCTTGAAAACCAAGAAGAGTCAATAACTGCTTCAGATGATGACGATGATCTGGTGGTCCAACGCTTGTTACTCGTAAACAGAGATGAAAGAAATGATCTTCTTCATTAGGGACATCTAGAAAATGGCTGAGAAGACTTGGTTCTCCTGATACGGTTAAGCTTTAGCCATTTTTTTTATTTTGAAAAATGTAAATAAAAATGGTCCCATTAATAGAAATATTTTTGGCTATTTTGACTTGACTTTCTTCTTTCACTACTGCTTTATTTGTATCCTCTAACCCTGACTTCTGTAAGTATTGTAGCCTTGTAGAAGTTATAGACTATTGATTCTTCTCTTAGGTCGCTTGGACCTAGTTCAGGCTAAGTTGTCTTTATTAAGCTTCTGTTGAGTTAAGTAGACTCAATCATAGCTTGGTAAGGAGCTTAGAATCTCTAATTTGCTTCTATTGATCCAATTAAACTCAATCTGAGCTAAGTGATGAGCATGGAGGCTCTAACTTACTTCTATTGCGTCAATTAGACTCAATCCGAGCTAAGTGAGAAGCATAAAAACTCTAACTTGCTTACGTTGCATCAATTAGACTCAATTCAAGCTAAATAAGGAATATAGTAGCTCTAACTTACTTACGTTGAGTCAATTAGACTCAATCGTAGCTAAGTGGAGAGTATGGATGCTCAATTTGCTTTTCTTGAGTCAAGTGGACTCAACTGTAGCTAGGTGAAGAATATTGAAGCTCTAATTTGCTTATGTTGAGTCAAGTAGACTCAATCATAGCTAAGTGAAGAGAATAGAAGCGCTAACTTGCTTCTGTTGAGTCAAGTAGACGCAAACGTAGCTAAGTGAATAACATGGAAGCTCAATTTGCTTCTGTTGAGTCAAGTAAATTCAATCGTATCTAAGTGAGGAGCATGTAAGCTCTAACTTGCTTCTAATAATCCAAGTAGGCTCAATTGTAGCTAGGTGAAGAGGATGGAAGCTCTAATTTGCTCATGTTAAGTGAATTTGATTCAATCAGAGCTAAGTGAGAAGCATGGTAGCTCTAACTTGATTCTGTTGAGTCAGGTAGACTCAATTGTAGCTAAGTGAAGAGCATTGAAACACTAATTTGCTTATGCTAAGCCAAGTAGACTCAATTGTAGCTAGGTGAAGAGCATGGAAGCTTTAATTTGCTTTTGTTGAGCCAATTAGACTCAAGTGAGGAGCATGGTAGCTCTAACTTGCTCTTGTTGAGTCAAGTAGACTCAATTGTACCTAGGTGAAGAGCGTGGAAGCTCGAATTTGCTTTTAGTGAGCCAATTAGACTCAATCTGAGCTAAGTGAGGAGCATAATAACTCTAACTTGCTTCTTTTGAGTCAAATAGACTCAATCGTAGCTAGGTGAAGAGCATGGAAGCTCTAATTTATTTCTATTATGCCAATTAGACTCAATCTGAAATAAGTGATGAGCATGGCAGTTCTAACTTGCTTCTGTTGAGTCAAGTATACTCAATCATAGCTAAGTGAAGAACATGGAAGCTCTAATTTACTTTTGACAATGCTTTTTAGAGTTCAAATAACAACACAGATAACTATGAATAGCATTTTTTATTAAGAAGGCTGTGAAATACACATTTTTATTTGAAGCAGGCTATATTAAAATTGAATTTCCTACTAGCTAGGGTTCCACTAACTAGCTACTAGTAGAAATTCTTTAGATGTTCCACATTCTATGGGTGTGAAAGTTTAACTCCCCCCAAAGTTTCCAAGCGGTAAGTTCTTGGCCTTAGGACTTTACTATTTGGGAAAGGCCCTCCTATATTGCCCCTAGCTTTCCTTCTCTAGGATCCTTAGCGGCTTGTGTCACTTTCTTGAGGACAAGGTTATTTATCAAGAACTCTCGAGGCTTCACTTATGCATTATAGTACATGGACACTTTGCTTTGATAAGCTATCACCCTCATTTGGGATTTTTCCCTTTTTCCCTTTGGCCAGTTATGGTTATTGGCCAGATGTTGATCATTTGATGCGGGGTCGAATTCCTTAATTCGATAAGTGGTCATCCCAATTTCCACTAGGACTACTGCTTCAGTTCCAAAGGCAAGGGAGAATGGGGTTTCCTTAGTGGGCATTTGAATAGTGGTCCTACAAGCCTATAAGATGCTTGGAAGTTGTTCTACCCATAAGTTTTTGGATTCTAGTCTGGTCTTTATGCTTTTAAGCAGGGTTCGGATGGTTACCTCTGCTTGCCTATTCACTTGCGAATGACCAGGTGACGAGTAATGATTGTGGATTCCTAACTTAGAATAGAATTCTCTAAAGTTATCACTTTCAAATTATTTGCCATTGTCACTGATGATTGCTGCTAGGATACCAAACCTACAAATGTTTTTGTTCGGTGATTATTGTTAGTGGATTTTCCTCCACCCACTCAGTGAAATAATCAATGGCAACCACTATGAACTTATTATATCCTTTTTCCATTGGGAGAGGCTCCATAATGTCGATTCCCTATTGGGTAATGGCCAAGGGCTTACAATTGGGGTGAGCTCCCTAGAGGGAATTTTGGCACTAAAGCAAATTTTTGACACTTCTCACATTTTGGACATAGTCCACCACATCTTTCTTAATGGTGGGCCAAAAGTAGCCATGCCTTAATA